GGAGGCGGAGATTACAGTAAGCCGAGATAGCGCCACTGCACTCCAGTCTGACAAAAAAAAAAGAAACTCCGTCTAAAAAAAAAAAAAAAAAAAAAAAAGAGATATTATTATGTGATGAAAGTCAGGGAAATAATACATTTTGTAAAGCTTCAGATGAATGATTCTCCTAGATAGGAAGGCAAAGGGCTACATTTGGGAGGGGCCAGCCTTGCAGACAGCTTCAAGTGTAGTGGTGCAGGTGATGGCTCTAGTGTATTTATTTTACTTTTCTCTTACGTGACTCTGTGTGTGTAATTGTATATGTATAAAATAGTTCCTAATGATGTTTTTGCATTGGGGCGTTTCTCTGTCTTCTGGGCTGGGATGCAGTGGCATGATCGCGGCTCATTGCAGCCTGCACCTCTCAGGCTCAAGCGATCCTCCCACCTCAGCCTCCTGAGTACCTCGGACTACAGGTGCGCACCACCATGCTTGGCTAGTTTTTAAAAATCTTTTGTAGAGATGGAGTCTCACTCTGTTGTCCAGGCTGGTCTTGAACTCCTGGTCTCAAGTGATCCTTTTGCCTCAGCCTCTCCAAGTGCTGGTATTACAGGGTGAGCTGCTGTGCCCACCCTTTTTTTTATTTTTAAACAGCTTTATTGAGGAAAAATTCACAGACCTTACAATCTTCTAGGGTTTAGTGTGATCACAGATATGTGCAACCAACACCATGGTTAATTTTAGAACATTTTTATCAGTCCTATACCCTTTAGCTATCACCCTGTTATCCCCTCACCCCGACCCCACCTGTAAGCAATCACAAATCTAGTTTCCATCTCAATAGATTTGTCTTTTCTGGGCATCTCATATAAATCGATCCGTATGAGTGTCTTTTCATGTCTGGCTTCTTCCCATTTGTCTCATTCCAGAAGGTGACTGAATTTTTCCACAGCTGGGAATACTAAGCCGTGGAGTGAATTGTTGGTTCCCAAGTGAAGGTGAATGAGGCAGAGTGAAAGGAGAGTTCTTTTACTGAGGGAAGGGGACAAGAACCAATGAATGAAAGAGATCCAGCAGGAGGGGCGGGAGGAAGGAGGGTAGAGAGCTGCTTGAAACAAATGAACAGAGCTCTGGGCCGTGACAGCGGTATAGAAGGCGCACGTGCAGCAGGGTGTAGGTCCTGAGGGGGAGGGAGAGGGACTGTGGAAAACAGTGTGTCACAAACTCTGAGTTCCAGCTGCTGGAGACGGGGGTCCCAGGGGCCCGGTTATCCCCTCACAGGCAGGGGCTGAAAAGTGGGGCTCTGCTCAGGTTCAGGAAGGAAGTGGGTGCACAGGTCGTGTAGACATGCGTGGGAGCCCGCAGTGTGAGGTGCAGAACTTCAGGGAGAACCTGCATTTGGCCTCCAGGCTGGTTGGAAGTATTCTTTCATTCAGCAGCCTTCTCATTATGTGCCTTCTGTGTGACAGACACTGCAGAGCACAGAGACGCAATCTTACCTGTCCCAGCCATCCAGGGAAGGCAGTGTTAGGAAGTTCCAGGGACTTACCTGGAAGGCTGGGACAAGGTTATTTTCCCTTTCCCCACAGTTCATGGAGCTGTATTCTGTGTAGAATGGGCAAATTACAACTATCATGGATTAGTAATTGAAGAAAGGAAGCTTATACCTCCATGTTTTTTACAACATGCGCTATCTGAGATGTATTAAATATTCACATTGATGTCTGTGTTAGTCTATTTCGTGTTGCTATAAAAGAACACCTGAGGCTAGGGAATTGGCAAAGAAAAGAGGTTGATTTGTCCCCTGATTCTGTGGGCTCTACCAGCCTGGCACCAACATCTGCTTCTGCTGAGGACCCTAGGAAGCCTCCAGTCCTGGTGGATGTGGAAGTGGAACGAGGAAGAAAGGAGGTGGGTGCCACGCCCTTTCAACCAACCAGCTCTCATGTTTCAGAGAGCAAAACTCACTCATTACCACGGGGACAGCGCCAAGCCATCCTGAAGTATCCACCCCCATGACCCAAACACCTCTCACTAGGCCCTGCTGTCAACATTGGGAATCAAATTTCTTCCTTCCTTCCTTTCCTTCTTTCTTCCTCCCTTCCTTTCTCTCTTTCTTTCCTTCTTTTCTTTTCTTCTTTTTCTTTTCTTTCTCTTTCTCTCTCTCTCTTTCCCCCTCCCCCCATTTCCTTTCCTTCCTTTCTTCCCTTTCTTTTCGCCGTGTCACCCAGAGTGGAGTGCAGTACCAGAGTCATAGCTCACTCTAGAAACCATGGCTGAGCTGAGCCGTTGTTTACTGGGGCATCCAACTCCTGGGGCTCCAGAGATCCTCCCACCTCAGCATCCTGAGTAGCTAGCATTACAGACTCAAGCCACCATACCCAACTAATTTTTTAATTTTTTGTAGAGATAGGGTCTCACTAGGAGATCAAATTTCAACATGAGATTTGGAAGGGACAGATATTCAAACTGTATCAATGACAATAGGTTTTTTTCCTCATAAAAAGTGTCTATGTGTTAGGAACTTTAGAGGTTTAAAAAGTGGGGGGGGGGGAGAAATATATAATAAGGGGCACATACTTTACAGTCTCCTCACATTTTAAATTACTCTGATAACTAAGACATACGTAGATTCATGGGTCTGGAATTTTTTCAGTGACACATTTGTTTATAATTAAAATGTGGATTTTATTTATTTATTTATTTATTTATTTGCTTAGAGATAGGCAGGTGGGCTTGCATATATATATATTTATTTATTTTCTTTTTTTTTATTGCATTTTAGGTTTTGGGGTACATGTGAAGAACATGCAAGATTGTTGCATAGGTACACACATGGCAGTGTGATTTGCTGCCTTCCTCCCTGTCACCTATATCTGGCATTTCTCTCATGCTATCTCTCCGCAACTCCCCACCCCCCATTGTCCCTCCCCTATTTCCCCCCAACAGACCCCAGTGTGTGATGCTCCCTTCCCTGTGTCCATGTGTTCTCATTGTTCAATACCCACCTATGAGCGAGAACATGCAGTGTTTGATTTTCTGTTCTTGCGTCAGTTTGCTGAGAATGATGGTTTCCAGGTTCATCCATGTCTCTACAAAGGACACGAACTCATCATTTTTAATGGCTGCATAATATTCCATGGTATATACGTGCCACATTTTCCCTGTCCAGTCCATCATCGTAAAATGTGGATTTTATCTCCTCGTTCCTTTTTAATTCAGCCCCAGGCCTGAGCCACCATCAACACATTCCTACATTAAAATTAGGGTTTTTCCTTGAAAATATTGCTTTTTAGGAAAAAAGGAGGCAGTTGCCTTGAGACAGCTGACCTTGGCTGCCGTGCTGCTCTCAAAAGAGAGTATTATTTATCACGAAGCTTTGTTCCCTGCATGGCATTGCAGCCCCTCAGCCCTAAACTCAGCAAACACTGTCCCATTTTACTCCCAGTAACAAGCACAGGGGCACCATCACAGGCCAGTACCCAGTGTGAACTAAGTCTTGGGAACTTACTGAAATTGTTGGAATATATGTCCCTTTTTAGTAATGTACACAGCTGTGAATATTAGGTACAATTTGACTTCAGACTCAATTTATAATGTGTTTTGGCTCAGGTGTGGCCTGCTCATGGTATTACTGATAATTAGAAATGAAAATACTGGTGAGCCACAGGAAGAAAAATCCTGTGTTTTCTGAAAGCTTCAAACACTGTTGGCCTTGTTCCTTAATCATCTGGGAGGAAGAGAACCTATAAAAGCTGGAAAGGCAGTGGCCGGCAACCAGCCCTTGAGAGGCTTGCTGAGCTGTGAGGGTCTGGAGGAGGAAGAAGCGCTGCATTGCTCCTGCAGCCCCAGTGCAAAACGATGTGGAATTCCAGCATGATATTAAAATGAATATATTTTATTTTTTTAT